GTGGGAGGGCGTTAAGAGGAGGGGCGTAAATGGAAACTTTTTATAATTTAATAAAATTACAAAAAAAAAAGAATGAAATGTTTTACAAATTGATGAAGTATAAAAACAAACCCACAAGGGAATAGCTTACACTGGTGCCAAAACTGTGTTAGTCATGCCAAACTCTTTAAGATGGGAAACTAAGAACAGGACTATGGTTTTACCTGGAATTCTAGTTTTAGGCTTCAATAGTGTTTTGTTTTCTGAGATTCATGAGCTTATTCTCCATTCAGTGTATGTATAGGTACACACCATAGGTACACACCATGACCTTTACTATGCAGGAGGAGTAGAAAGCTCAGTGCTCTCAAACTGTACATAAGAAATAAAATAGTTATTATTTAAGGATAAATAACATGCAGTGCAATGTACACCATTTTATTCTAGAACTCTCTTGCACTTATGGCCTTATGAATCTATATTTAGATATGGAAACAAAGAATTTTTTAACTACATAATTTTTAAGTGTCTTCATTTGTTGACAAAACAGCATAGATGATGAATAGAGATGAAATATCGACAAATACAATTATTTCTTATTTTAATCATTATATGTTAACTGTCAAGCAAGACTACATTTAAAACAAATACAAAACACATTCTAGTTTGAAGCTTTTTGAAACCTAAGAGTCAGTTAATATCTTCTTAATTTTAATGACATTCAGAAAGGAAGCCAGAAAGCCCCATAACTTTTGTAAAATATGTAAGAGTGGAAAGTGATTGGAATCATAGCTGATTTGAGAATGGTTAAATATGCTTTGAACTACTAATAAAATCTTTTAAGCTTAATTTTATTAATCGTGATCCATATTTCATGCTGTCTTTCATAAAAAATACCCTTTCAAATGTTTTAGTTTTCAAATATATGTATTTTCAAATATGTCTCTTATAAAAACATATTTCAAATATGTGTCTTAAATACATATGAATATTTTAAATATATCACAGATATATAGGTATTTATTTTGTGTATATGTATGTACGTCTCCAGGTTTTAGGCAGACCTGTACTTTTTGTTTGCCATGGTTTGATTTATAATATGGTATGTGAATTGAGGAAAACCACCAATTTCTAAAGGAAACCATAGATCTAAATGTAAAAATAGTCAGAAACTAGAAAAACAGAATTGTGTGATAATAGTTAACACTTCAGAGGTAAGGCTTAAGTACTCATTTTTTCTATTATTTGTTAAAATAGAGCAAATTGTTATTATTATGAAAGTATCAATTAGAATAAAATAAAAACATTTACATTTTAGAGATATGGAAAAAGCACAGACACAGTATGTCTGTTCCTTAAATTTTATAATTCATAATACCCGGACAAAGGTAAGTCCTTAGTTAATTGAAATGGAGTATGTAAAAAAAAATATAAGCTGACATTAGTGCTTAGCATATTTGAATATATTTTTAAAACCAGTGTTTTCAAAGCAACCAATTGAAGGACATAATTGTATTTCTTGGGGAAATGCAATGCCAATGGCATTTGTATATGCAATAACTTTCAGAGGCAATTCCCATGTTCAACTTAATTATCCAAGCCTAAGACATTGTATGTATCAGGAATGATGCAAAGAAGAAACTTCTTTGATTTAATGTTAATTCTCATCATCCCTCAAACGTGTGACAAATTTGGGGTCACCATGAATGTTAAAATTTAAACATTTAATAAGTTCCATCTCACCTTAAATAAAAGAGATTACTTTTTTTAAAAACACTGTTTTTATTGTTTAATTTCACTTCATTATTCAGGCTTAGCTTTAAGGAGTCTGATGAATGTTTAAATGGTTATGGCTATGAATCCCCGCAAGAACCCAACCCTTCCCTACATTCTGCAGTGCCCTGCTTGATATTAAACCCTTACATTTGATATTTATATTAGCATAGCAGGGTCCCCCTCCCCCGGGATACTGAAGTGCACGTATTTGAAGGATAACTAAATTATAGTGCAAATGACACAGACATTTTGATTATTAGAATTCTCACAATTCCCCTTGTCTTTGAAAGTCATATTAATCCTGTGACACTGTAAGAGGAGATAGTAAAGCAGCTCCTAGAGAAAGTGCTGCTGTTGCTGTATGTTTTCTACATTAAAAACCAAGCATGACCTCGAATATAAAAATAAAAATTCTATAACATTACTAATGCTCTGAAAACAGTAAGTTTTTGAAAATATGGGATGGCTAGCAGTATTTAAACATTATGAAACTTTGATAGCCCTGGTTAACTTTGAAATCAGCAAGACTTTAATTCTTCTGAGTTTAATCACCCTGTTCTTTCTGATGACACGTTGCTTGTACTATGTGTTATACTAAAAACCTGAATTTCCTCAGTCTTAGGATATTTAACCTTCTATGCCTCCTGTTTCAAAGACCTTTCTCCTTAGTGCCCGTTTCGTGCACTCCTTTGGAAAGGATTCCTTCCTTTCCTAGCTCACATTTCCCCGTCTTTCCCACATCGCTGTCCTTGTTTTTTGGGAGTAACTGACTTGAGACAGGTTGTGGAGAGATTTCTGGATATGCTGTTCACCTCTGATATGGTGAATGAGAAAAATCCCCGGCACAGCCCCTGGGGAGGCTCACAAAATGCCAGCCTCTGTGGAAACAAAAACTTCACACTTGCTAGTTACTCTCATTTGCAACACCCTAGCTAAAAGCAACTATGTATTTACTAATAGTTTAAGTTTACACAACACAAGCTGAAAAGACTTCTGTGGACTTTGTTAACCACAAGGTCTCTATTGATTTTTTTTTTTCAGTCACAGTCTCCTCTGGCATTTCCTACACTACCTCTAGTGGAGGGATCTTACACTCGGCATTTTTATTATGTTTATTGAACTAATTGCTCAAATTCCTGTCTGAATAAAACCTAATGCTTTCAAAACCCAGGGTCAACTTAGATGCTCAGGGAGTATAGGGAGGAAATTTATCATTGCACCTTGTATTTCCACATTTAATGTCAGAGCACATATTGAAACCATAAAAAGAAGACAGAAAATCAAAACATACTCCGGTCATATAGGAGGGAAACATGTCCTACCCTCTTTTTTAATTCTTAAAGAGCGAATGGGGTGGGTAGTGTCAGAAGAAATGGTATTAAGACCTATGTCCCCGATGCCATCCTGCCAGTACCTAAAGAAAGCTCTTAGCAGCCAAGCACCCCAAGAACACTCAGTGCCCCCTTTCAGGGTTACATTCCCAAACTACAGGCAAAGAACCTTACCGTCAAAGACTTGCTGCAGGTTCCAGCTCAGCTTCAGACTGAAAAGCTGAGCAGCTGGGGAACAAAAGTTTTAGGTTTTTTTTTTCCCCCTAACGAAGTCTGCAAAACTAATTTCCCTCAAAATAGGGCTCAATTTCCGTTAAAGAAAGCAGCGCTTACAAATCTTCGAATTCCTGATCAACCCCCACTCCACCGCATCTCTAAGACGTGAAAAACAATTTGACTTTTCACACGGAAGTGAAGGTCTGTTTGGAAGTCGCCCTTCTGGAGAACCTCTTAAAATAAAGGGCAACAGACTAACGCCAGAAGGACAGGCCGAGCGAAGGGACACCCCTCCAAAACTAATCAATACCTTTTCCTAATTTAAACCAGATGTCTAGTTCAGGTTGCTGTACTCATTAATCCCATTAACAATTTCAAAGACCTGGCCATCATCTTCTGGTCACCCAGACAAAAACGTAAGGCAGTTAAGCGTGGTGGCACACTCTAACACTGAAACGGGTAGGGAGTACAGATGTCCTCGTGATACACACATCCCAAACAGTATCCGACTTTCCGACTTCCAGACTTTCCGTCCCCAAAGCTTGTCTTGGGTAAATGACAAGACCCCCAGTAGACCCCGTGGGGCCAAGCTAAGGGCGGTGTCAAATCCCAGCCCTGGCTCTCACAATTCACCGGTGGCAAGTTGTGTAGTTCATTTCCAGGAGCAGTCTGTGAGCTGGGGGAACTGAACCGTCCCAACAGAGTGAATTGGGGAATGTTAAGTGTGGTGTCTGCTTCAACAGAAAAGCGATGAGGGAGAGGGTGCATTTCTGGAAAGGTACCAGGGGTCTCTGAAGGGGCTTTTGAAGGGTCACTAGGAGGGGTGAGGCTGGGAGTTACACGTTTTATTTGACATTGCTTCAGATTATTCCTGACCCAGGAAAACTTTTTGGCGAGAGACCTGTTAGGAGATTGAGCAAGCAGGACCAGTAAAGAGAGGTGGGAGGAGGGTCGGAAAAGGGAGGAAAGGGACACCAGTTGGAGTAGCACAGGGTGATGCCAGGGAGTCAGTATCTGCAGCCATCTCTGCTTCAGGTTTTCCATCCACTCGTTTACTGGGTATCTCTCTTCTCCGCACTCAGTACAGCTCTGTGCTGACATCCCTGCACAGCACAGAAACCTCCAACCTGGCGTCACTTTATGAACAGCCCATGTCCAGACACCTACAAGGGAAAACCGTGATGCGCCCCTGGGCGCGAAAACTACAAGTATTGGAGTTTGAAAATCTAGACTACTTGAGCTCTTTCCCTTCTTTCAAACTCTTACAAGCTCTCTGTGGTTTGCAAGGTGAGCAAGCAGCAGTCCTGGAGCGCCTGCAGGTGACTCCCAGCCCTACCCCCACCAAGCGCTGACAAAGCTGGGTTCTAAGAACGGTGAATCGGTCAGGGACTCTGGAACTCTGAATGCTGGCTTAGCGAGACCTAGAGTAGCTACGTGCCTGGCCATTGGGAGCTAGGGGACAGATTGCCAGGGCCCTGTAGACTGAGGCTCTGGACGCTCCACAGGCTGTAGTGGAAGCTACCAGCACCGGGCGGGCGTGGAGCAGCCGATCCTGTCTTGCCAGCATTTGGGAAGTGGAAATGAGAGAGCCTGGTGGCGCTGACAGAGCGGGAGTTTTGGAGGGAGTTTGCATGTGGTCAGCTCCGGGCTCCTAAGCCAGCCCCCAGCTCACATTACACTCTATTTATAGCCTCTCAGAGCCATTTCCCCCTGAAAGCGGTTCTCTGGGACCACCTTCTTTTGGCTTCCACCTCTCCCACACTTGACATCTGAGCAGCTGCGAGGGAAGCTCCTCCAGGTCCCAGTGTTTATATGTGCAGGAGACTGGCCGCTAAGGCTCAGGACTGGGATTAGTCGGCTCTGCTCAAACGCGCGGCTTTTAGGGAGTGTGTGTTGGGGAGAAAGTTCTAGGATTTCCAGTGAAAAGTGACAGAGCTTGGTGGCCTTTGGGACCATCGTGAAGTCTTCTGCCTGGAAGTCCAGACTTGCATGCCATGGAACACCCCCTCTTTGGCTGCCTGCGCAGCCCCCACGCCACAGCGCAAGGCTTGCACCCCTTCTCGCAGTCTTCTCTAGCCCTCCATGGAAGATCTGACCACATGTCCTACCCCGAACTCTCCACTTCTTCCTCGTCTTGCATAATCGCGGGATACCCCAACGAGGAGAGCATGTTTGCCAGCCAGCATCACAGGGGGCACCACCACCACCACCATCACCACCATCACCACCACCAGCAGCAGCAGCACCAGGCTCTGCAGAGCAACTGGCACCTCCCGCAGATGTCCTCCCCGCCAAGCGCGGCCCGGCACAGCCTGTGCCTGCAGCCCGACTCCGGAGGGCCTCCGGAACTGGGGAGCAGCCCTCCGGTCCTCTGTTCCAACTCATCCAGCCTGGGTTCCAGCACCCCGACCGGGGCCGCGTGCGCACCAGGGGACTATGGCCGCCAAGCGCTGTCACCCGCGGAGGTGGAAAAGAGAAGTGGCAGCAAGAGGAAAAGCGACAGCTCAGGTGAGTGCGGGCGGATCACCCCCAGGGGAGTGTTCCTGGGATGGGAAAAGGCAAGGAGGTACTGGGAGGTTAGTGCAGACAATTAAGGAACACCTAGCATTCCAGGCTTGGTGGCCCAATCCATTCTTGCAGCTCCGGCCCTGTAATTTGGGAGCACGTGTTTCGCTGAGGCTAATATATCTATATCCAGCCGTTCAAAGCTCTCCAAGATCGCAAACTAGTTTTCCAGAGGTGGTGAAAAAAGAGCGAGTGACAGTTTGCGAAATCGGTTAAGGAGCGTGGCGGTCAATGCACGCTTTGGGAGGGGTGTGAGCCTTGGGATGCTGCATCCGCTGGGCATGCGTGCGTGCGAGCGTGCGTGCGCTTCTTGTGGCTTTTCCCTTACAAACTCCCAACTCCGACAGAAATATGTTTTCCCATCCTTAACTGGATTTCCAGATTATTGCGCAATATCGTGAGCTTTTACTGGGATTTGACAAAATACTCGGGGGGGGGGGGAGCTTGACTTTGTTTTAACTTTTTGCTTTCGGAGTTCCTTAAATAGAACCCTGCTTGAAACAGCGATAATTTTAAAAAGCATTCTATATTTCTGGCGAAAAGGGCATTATCTAGGAAACTAGAAGTATTTAAGGAACACATCCGAAAACTGTGAATGAATAAATAAGAATCTGAAGAAAGATCATTCTTAATAATAGATTAGAATCGCGAGTTGCTAACTTAGGGAAAAAACAAACAAACAAACAGCGCAAAACCCCTTGGACTTCTAAAGTGGAAACTAAAAGCCTTCCTTAGCTGCTTAGAGTCTGGAGATGCCCTGGAGAGCAGACAGCAGCCCTGACTGCGCTGGAAGAAGATGCCTTAGGGCAAGGTGAGGGGTGGGTTAACTGAGCAGCTGCACTAAAATGTGTCTCCCAGTGGGTCCAACGGCCTGAAAGCTCAGTGCCTTGCACCAGTCCAGAGAAAACTGAAAGTTTCCAGGCCATACATCAAAGCCCCAAGCTGTATTTCTCAGGGTTAGGATGGTTCTCTTATTCTCCTTCTCCTCCGTCTGTTTAACTGAGTCTTTCTCTGTAGTTCTACGGCAACCTGGTGCATAATGTTGGAAGATATCACTTAACTAATAAAAGGTTTGCATATATTAATCTTATGTATTAGTGGGAGTTGGAAACTGTAATTCTAGGCATTGGAAAGAATGGAAAAAAATAGTGCTTTAAGCAATTTTGGCCAGGTGTATGACAGTAACTGCTGTGTATTTTATATCATGTTAAAAGATGGCAGAAACTGTTCTTGGCCTCACTCTGGGGTGACCTTTATTTCCTAGCCTCATAGTTGAACCTTGATTTTCCAGGGCAAATTTTTAATGCTCCACAATGATTAGCTATGTCTAAGAAAGTGTTTAGTGGTTATTGTTAGCTACTTTATGAAATTCTAAGCTGTTGAAAAGACATCTATGAAGGCTTTAGAGTGCACTGGGGTTTCCCAGGCTGGGCATTTATGAGCAGGAATGCTTGGATGGCCTCTGCAGGATGGTAGCTACCTCAACAAGAGCCACAAGACCATACTCAGTTTTCCTACCGCAAGGGGAAACCGTGGCCTGCTTCTTAGCTTGACCAGTGTCCTAAAGATTTTGTCTGCACATGAAGGAACTTTTGTTTAGGCACAAGTTATTTTCTGTTGGGGAAACGGGGAGAGTGGGACTAAAAAATTTAGTTCCTTAAGTTATTTTCATAAAAACTGCCTTAAAACCGACTAATCCTTGTTCTCATCACCTTTATCGGGGAAATAAGCACACAGCAAGGCGAAACTTGTTTTCTTGTTTGACTCTCAGTTTGGAAGATGGAAATAAGCAAACAGAATAAAAATTTGTGTCAACTCCATGATGTAGTAATAGATTACAAGAACGGGAAGCACAGTCGTTAGCAAGGATATTGTCACCGGGGTCGACTTAGAACGAGTGTTTTCATAGACAGACGGTTACAGGGAAATATCAGTTGTCCTGTTCTGGTACACTTATTGAAAATATTGAACAATTTCTGTGTTCACGCTCGAAGTTAATATTGATTAGATCATAGGGAAGCTTGACTTCAAGTCACCTATCTCCTATTTCAATTAACACAGCGAACATTCAGTTCAAGGTCGAGTCATTTCACACATTTTTACACAAAATTTGGAAACATTTTGACTTACCAGGTGGTAAAGCAACATACAAAACAGTTATAATACTTCTCTGTTATAAATGCACAAGCCTTATTTGGCCCAACTCACTTATTTCATAAATTAGTTATGAAATTAATAATGTCTAGTAAGTTATATTGGACAGTCTGAGATTTGGGATTGTATTAGATAAATATTACATAATACAAAGTAGCAACAATTCATGTAGTCAGGCATTTTACAATCATTGTGTATTTACAGTTGAGAGTATATGCCGAGTTTCACTCTGGCAGTGTTGGAATCAAGTCTTCACATATCTGTTGCTAGTGAATGTATGATACCTAAATTAATTTCTAATAGAAATTTAAACACCAGAAAATGTTAAACGACCAAATTGTGTATAAATCTTACATCTGTATCCATAGTAAAATAATGCAACAATGTCAATATATAACACTGTCCAGTATTTTCGTTCTGAAAACAAGTATGAACGCACACTTACATAAACCCCCAAAGCTTACCAATATGAAAATAAAGGTTTATAGACTTTAATTTTCCATTATTTAATTTAAAAATTAAAATTAATCCATTTTAATATAAAATTATGACATGCATCCTAAACCTTTTTGTAACTTTGAACCACCTACCATTTCCAGTAACGTTAGTAAAGCCAACATCTGCCCGTCCTTCAAAGGAGCTCTTAAAGTTTGAAACTTTACAATTGTGCTTAAAAGAATCAGTACAAAGCAGGTGATTTGGAGAAATGTCTATAAAGACTGTGAACTTCTTGGCTTCAATTATACCTGGCGATATGGTAGTAGGCATAAATTGCTAAATTTAGTTAATCTAAGCAGCTTTTATGCAGTTAGTATACACCATTAAAGTTTGCATACTTTTGGTTTAACAAAGACTAGCACACCTTTTATTTTCAGTCATTTTTTTATTTTTTATCAATATTCCTTTCAAAGATGTAATGAGTAATTTGGGGAGGTAGATTTTAATAGGTTTTGAATCATATTAGATTTTTTAAGATCACAAATTGTTACTATAAACACAAAATGTTTAGTTACAGCTATGTGTGAGTCTCTGTGTGTGGCTACACAGAATGAAAAGAACAGTATTTAATATCAAGATAACATGAGAACAATGCTACTTCCCCCTAACTCTGCTATTGTAGTGTGATATTTCCTAAATATTCCAATAATTCTGTTTTCTGAGAAGAAAACAACTCTGTTTTTCATTTCTGTGTTACTGGATCATATTATTTTTTGGATTTTCTTTAGAATAAAATACAATCTTTAGGATCTTGGACACCCAGGAGAATTTTAAACAGTTTAAATATCTCCAAACTATAATATATAAAGTCGCATTGTGGACCTTTCTAGAGTGTTAATTTTAGATGAGACCATCCTGAAATGGGAACCTGATTTTGAAAGACAAATGTAGGCGCCATTGACGTAAGTGAGTGATCTTAGTTAGTAAGTTTCAGTATGAGATCAGGAGCCTTCCAAATCTAGAGCTTTAAGAATGAAACTGAGCAGAGAGCAAGCATGAGAGTAGAGATGGAATTGACTTCAGTTCCCTGCAGATCTGTTTATTTATCTTTTTGTTCATTTTCAAAGAGAGCCGTCAAGGAGAGAAATGGTGGCAATTTCACCTCCAGTAAATCCTGATACTGTACAAGTAAACATTCTCATTTTTATAGTAATTGTCAGTTAAAACCATTATGTTGATGCCCTGCTGGCATATTACTAACAGCAAAAGTCAAAAATGATATCATCATACACATTTCCCTTCAGTATTTAGAAAACCTTCATTCTGTTCCTGGAGAGTATAGTTTATATTACGATAAGGCATAATCATACTAATAGATGAATTTCAAGTGAAAACTAAATAGAAGATAGGCCAATATTTTGTCATACCTGGGGAAGTTTGGAAAAAAATTCTGTATGTAATGGAAGATAACTTTGTTCATTTGAAAGATGTCAGTCTATGAACAAACAACTGAACAAACATAATTTTAGACTTTTATTTCAGATAAAAAGTAATTATATTAACTAGAATATAAATCTAATAAGATTTAGACTGCATTCCCTCTCTAAATTTAAATATTCAATTTTAAAAGTATAATTTGTGCATCGTTGTACAAGTTTCAAATATCTATGTCTGATTAGTGACTGGGTGGGTACATCACTGTATTGGAAAGTAATTGTGAATAAGAATGCTTGACATTTTCTGGGGTAATAGTTGTAATTTATGTCTCTCTATCAAATTGTTTATAGTTCAAATTTTCAACTTCCTTCACATCCCCTGATTTGTCCTGATAGTTTCTACAATAATAAAATACTTTTTTGAGGAAAAATTATCATGGGAAATGAAATTAGCAGATATAACCCCATTCCTCATTTATTATAATCATGACATCCAAAGTGTAAGTTCGGAGCTGGCCACTTAAATTGCATTTCCTTGGGTTTTATGGTATCATAATACATGGTATTATGAACTGACTCCAGTCACTAAAACTATTTTTTAAGAAAAGACAAACGAGAGAGAGAGAGAGAGAGAGAGAGAGAGAGAGAGAGAGAGAGAGAAATAAATACAGACCGCAATGGTAGTCCTCAAGTTTGAATTCAAAACAAGTAAGAGTTATTTTTCTGTCACCCATTTATGCGATGTCACATCTTGTTTGTATATTCCAGTCACTGATATACTTTTCAGTTATTAATACTCATGTTTAAAGTGTATAAAGACAATGGAGCACTGAGGTCTTCACTGTTATTGTCATACAACTCTCATGGACGCTGCTTTGAGTAACTGCATTGAATGGAATCCCTCAAGCAAGGACA